TCTGTTCGATGCTAAATTGGACGTGGAGGCTCGTTCGCTGACTTCATATCGTTAGCTTTCATGGGCTAGGGGTGGCGCCCTAAGAGTTCTACGGTAAGAGAGCAATCGAGTTGTCTGCGTATCGCAGCTGATACTCAATATTACGCAAGTAGGCATCGCAACACGTGGACGTAGATACTGATCGACCGAGGATGCCGTTGCGCCACAAGATGTAAACGGCAAGATTCCTCTATACTCGAAGTGCTTCACTGCAACTTTAGATGTTAGAGGAACTCAGTCTGTAGTGCGCCCTTGACGCCGAGGTTGAGGACCGACACCTGGAAGAGCTCGATGCCGTGCAGCTCGATTGTCGGGAAGGAGATGGACGTGCCCCGCTCGGCCGTGAGACCGGAGCCGAGGCCCGGCGGCTCCGCGCCCAGGTCGGCGCCGCCGCCTTCATTGTCGTCCGAGTCGTAGCTGTCCGACGTGTCGCTATCGTCGTCGTCGTCGGCGTCGTCGTCCGCGCCGCCGAAACGATCCCATTCCGGGGGTCTGGGGATGACCTTGATGTGGCTGCGGTCGTCGTCCGGATCGGCCGTCGCTTTCGGGTCCGTCGTCTCAGGAACCGGCGTCGGCTTCACCTGGGCATCGGGCTTTGGCGGCGCCAGGGCCTGCTTCGCGAGAACGTGCATGTTCTGCGCCAGGTAGTTCAGGTGACTCGTGAGTGTCATTTGCTTCTGCTCGGCTGCCTTCCGCACGTAGAGCTCCTCGAGGGGCTCGGCGTCTTGCGAGTCGCACTCGTTGAGCTGGATGCGCAGCGGTTGCAGCGGGTAGAGTAGGGGCACGATGAGGTGCACCGTCTTGACGCCTTGGAGGCCTGCGGGCAGCTCGCCGCGGCGGCGGGGCTCGAGAGGGAGGGTGTAGACGATGCCGTCCGGGGAGCGGCGATACAGAGACAGGCGGCCCATGCGGGTCTCGAGCTGGCGTGTCTCCTGCGCGCGCCGGGCTTTGGCGGCCGCCATCTCTTCTTCCGTGAAGTACTCCTCGGGCGTGTAGTGCCTGGGGGGGGCCGGGGATGGTGGCTTGGCGATCAGGGCGACCGACGCTGCGGACGAGGCAGGGGCGGCGGCGGCGGCGGCGGCGGCGGCTGCGAGGTGGCGGGTGTCTTTCGTCTCCTTGAAGGATACCAGCTTCACGGTGGCGGCTTCCTGCTCAGACAAGAAGCTCTCTAGGTTCTTGTCGAGAGCATGGGTGAGGGCGAGCAGGGTGGCGCCCTGGCGCTCGCGGACGAGCTTCTCCCACCCGCGTTCGATGTTGATGCTGAAACCGCGCGGGATGTCGCTGTTCTGCACGCGCAGCACGGGGGCGGCCTCGGGGTAGTCCTCGGGCACACGCAGCTCACACTGGAGGTGCTCCAGCTCAAAGGGGAAGTCCGGGTCGGAGGGCTTGATGCGGAAGAGCAGAACGGTGGTGCCGTCAGCAGCGGTGGACTCGCGGGGCGAGTACCGCTTGCGCAGTTGGCCGAGCTGGTAGCCACGGGGGTCCCTGGCCTGGGCCTCCGGGACGGGCTTGGGAACAACGCGGTCGGTACGGGGCCGGGGGACGGCCTGTTGGTGGGTGTCGCCGCCCTGCTTCGCGAGAGATATCATGTTGGGCGGCGGGTTGGCAACGTGAAAATGAAAGTGCTCAACGTGTGGTTTAATGTCGATGAGCTGAACTGACGAAATGCAAAGAGTAGAATGGGGCGATCTGCGAGCAGAGGCAGTGCCAGTGCTAGTGCTTGTTGGCTGGTATGGTATGAGCTGGGTTGCTGTGTCGAACTGAGGACACCTTTTTCCCCCTTCTTCAGCGACGGATGCGTTTGTATTTGAGGATTCTCGCAACGGTGGCGACGGCGACAGTTTGGGTCTGGACCGGGGTGGGTGTTGTGATGTTGAATCTCGGATCGCATGCATCCATCGTTTGCGTTGCATCAGTCGACATGAGTCATAGTGGGGCACGTGATGTGATTACTTAACAGCCCTGCCGCAAGTGCGTGCGCAGGATCTGTTAGCAGGTACCTCTCGTTATTCATCCATCACTTGCAGCCAAAGCGGTCCACGCCAGTCGACTCATCGTCTACATACAGGTGGCGGTTTATTTCATCTCGGAAGGAATGCCCACTGCGATAGCATGGACAATCTGGGTTGGAATATTAGGCCTTGTTCTTTTTCTCAGGTTGGGCATTGGCATCTATCGTTCTTGTATCTCTGCACCATCGAGACATCATCAAGACACGAGCCTACTCGTCGCTCTGAGCATTTTCTTCTATTATAATGGGGGCAAATAGATGCCTCCTCTGTTGACCGAGAATAGGTTATGAATCTCCCAGCAGCAAGCAAAGGTCCGACACGGTGAGTTCCATGCTCGTCAGCCGTCGATGCTGAGACAAATGGCCACTGCTGCTGGGCATTGCCACCATACCCCACACATCCCGGGGAGCCGGGCCCGATGTGGGCCTCTCCCCCGTTTGCACATTCCATCCCGTGCCGGACCGGCCGGAGGGTGGAGGAAGTGGAACCTCAAATCACCTCGACAGGAGCTCGTCCGCTCCGAGCTACACCCACGCCACGAGATCCGGGGGGGCCGGGACTGGCCGAAGAATACCTCAACGAACCTCAACGAGGCACCTTGAGAGGCAAGTGATGACGTTCCCGCCAGCCAATGACACCCTGAAAGTTTCCATCGGCCGCGCATCCACGGTCGTTTGGCGGAGTAGAGGATGGAAGACAGTCATGTGAGCGAAGGCCAGCAATACAACGTGACCCTCGCTCCAGGTCCTTTTTCTTTTTCTTCTTCTTTTTTTCTCAACTTTATTTCCAAGTTCAAGAATAATAACAAACCGAGCCCAAAACACCCGTTGGGCAAACACTGAAGAATGGGGAAGGTCACGGGAAGCCGTGAATGAATATATCTGACGTCCGAGGACCAGTCGCTCAGTCCAGGGGCGTCTCGACGGGACTCGTGACTGAAGACCAGGAACATGCCCAAAGCACGCCTCGCACTTACAACCTCACAAAAAAACAAAAAGCATATACTGTGTCGATGAGAAAGAGCACCCGCTCGGATTGGAAAGCCTGGCACCTCATGACATCCAGAGAGCATGCGTGAGCTGGCCGTGTTGTCTCAACAGCGTGATGCCCCCCCCCCCCCCCTTCCTCCCTCCGCGCGCAGGGCACCCTCACAGCGCGCGATGTAAGGGCAGAAAACGTCGCCAAAGGCCGCTGCCCCAGCATCAGCAGCAGCGTGTGGGTGTGTCCGGCCGCTGCCCAACAATACCGCTTTTGCGTGCTGTCGGCAGGAGACAGTGCCCCAGCATCCGCCCTCTTCCCCCCCTCATTCAAACCATAGGACATTTTGTACAGTGACATTGGGCGTTGTCTGCGAACGTGACGGGGCAAAGGAAGCACACCGACACTCCGGCGGCGGCGGGCCATTCTCCGCCTCGCCTGCTGCCTCTCCCGCATATGCGGGCGCCGAATGACCCCGGAGATGAGAGGCTGCCGTTGAACCGCCCTCCCTGCGGAGGAGGAGGAGGAGGAGGAGGGAGGGGGGTACCAGCCGCGACTGGTTCCTCCGTGTCACTGCCTTTAGCGGCAGGTGCAGCAGAGCATGCGGTCTCATCTAGAATCGAGTCGATCGCGGGTACTGCAGAGAGGTGAGTGAGGGAAAGGGGATGCGAGAAGGGGGGCGAGAAGGCAGCATGCAGAGATAGATAGGGATTGGGGGCGAGCGAGTGGACGGGAGAGACGCGTGACGAGTCGGTTGACATGCTGTTTATCGGATGAAGCCCAGCTTTTTCTTTTCTAGGGAATCTCGGTCAGTCTCTTTCTTTGCATTTTCTGGCGTTTTTTTCTTCTTTTTTTCTTTTTTCGTCTTCTTCCCCCCACCACTCGGACGGCCCGCCAGCAACCAGCAGAACCGTCAGACTCAGTGCGAAGAGGTGGGCGTTTGGTGATGGTGGCGTCGTGGCCCGACCGGGAGGGCCGGCCGCCCGTCAGTTGATTTCATCCTCGCGCATCGTCGAGTCGAGCTGGGAGGGGTGAAGGTTGCGCGGTGCCGGTGACAGCTGTTCGCTCATCTCGATGGCCGACATGGCACTTGTCGGTCCATGGGCAGCAGAAGAGAGAGGGACTGCTGTTTGCGGCTCATCAGCCGATGTCCTCGAGCTTGTGAGGTTGGTGGTGCCTTGGCGCGGGTGGTGTTGAGGTGATTTCCTTCCTAGCCCCCGGGGGCACGTTTCGATGACGACTATTCTGAAAGGAGGGCACGTATTCTAGGGGCCCAAGGGTGACTGCGACGCTGCGGGAGGTAAGGGAGATAGGGATTAGAGAGAGAGAGAGAGATAGGAGTGCCAACGCATCAGCGAGAAGGGGACCCGGTGACCATGGCGTTTATGCAAGTCCAAGTCAGCCTTCCGGGCGGTGTGGGGACGGGAGTTGAGCTGGGTTGTCGGCGAGTGTTTGAGGGGTGTGTGTGTGTGTGTGTGTGTGTGTGTGTGTGTGTGTGTGTGAGTGAGGTGAGGTGAGGTGAGGTGTGAGTGAGTGAGGTGAGGTGTGAGTGAGTGAGTCCGTAACAGGCGAGACTATGGTGGCGGACCGTTGACGGCCCCCCCAATCATCATCTTTAGCGCTGTCGCCCGTCGTCTGGGGAAAACAAACGGTGGGGCCGCTGTGGAGATGTGGCGGTTTGATGGTTGATGGTGGTGTGACATTCTGGCTGCAAGAAGTCGAATGCGACTATTTTTCATTTTTTTTCCTTTCTTTTTTTCATTATTCTCTTTTTACAGTTCCCTTTTTAATACTCCATTAATTAAATCTCATCTTCATTTATTGGTTTCTTTATTCGTCTATTTCTGAAGTGTATATTCCCGGCTTGGGATCACTTAGATTCTGATGCAGAACATCACATCTCGCTTCCCGACACGCTGGGATGCAGCGCCCAGCCCGCCCTTCCACATACTCACTCACTCACTCGCTCACCTCAATCACTCATTCACCTCTCACATCCCACTGCCCCAGGGCCGTCCATGACCCTTCATCGCTCTTCACTATCCTCGTTCATCTCAATTGTGACGCGCAAGCGGGACACGCTATCGGCCGTTGTCGCGGGGTGTTCGTCTCCCTCGCCAATGCCAATGTTTGGCCAGTCAGCGGCTGTCCTCGACTCCCCCACGGCCCTGTGCCTGACTGTCCACCAACATACGCCCAGAAAGTAAGGCCTGGTCTTGGATGCAATCAACGTGCGAATAAACATAAATCAATAAGAATAGAAAAGAAAAAGAAAAAGAATGGTCAGAAAATAAAATAAAATAACAATTCAACAAGTCTCTTTCGTACTGGGCTAGTCTCGCATGGTTCGCTACCGGAATCCCGGAGCTCGTGTCTGATGGCAACCCTCATGCAAGACAGTCCATGTGTTCACCACGGCCGCCACTGACTGGTCTAAATCCGCACTCGGGGGCTTGGCCCAATGGGCTCAGTTAAAAAACATAAAGGAGCCCTTGGTGAATTCTGACTGGCAGAACGTGATTCGAATCAGAGAGGGCACCGACCCCGTCGAATGACATGACTCTCTCTCTCTCTCTCTCTCTCTCTCTCTCTCTCCCCCTCTCTTTCTCGGCCTTCCGCCAATGACTGCAGCTCATGATCCATCCATCCAACCAGTGGCTCAGCTACGGGGTTGACTGGACGGGGCTCGCGGCATCGCGCCAGAGGGAGGTCCTTGGTGAGCGCCAAGTCCGACGACACGCGCTGGACGCTGCCGCCAAGGCCAAGGCCAAAAAAAGCTTCGACGAGGCAGAGTATATGCATGTGGCGGCTATGAATTCCATGTCTGTGTGGGGGAGGGGGAGGGGGATAAACGAAAAGTGCCTTTGTCCTTTCGTCCTCACGATTTATTATTCATTCCCCCCCCCTCTCTCTTTTATTCATTTTATATATAGTTAATCCTCGTTTACTCATCCTTGCTCTGCAGTATTCTTTTCTTAAACAAACGCCGGTTTATGATTAAATCTTATTTTCGACTGCCGCTAATCGATCTGCCATCCGTGCAACCCTTCCTTTCCCTCTCTTTCTCACCTCATCCTCTCTCTGAATCTATCTGATCCTCCACCTCTACCACCACACCACCACCGCCACGACACCCACCACCGTTACCAGCACATCAAGCTTACCCCTTCCCGGAACCACATGGTCGACCTTCCGCGGGAACTAACCTTTGGAAACGCGCCAACCATACCGAGCCCCTGCGCTTCCTGCGTTCACCTGACTGAAAACTGACATCACCATCAAACGGTTTACCCGCCTAACCGCTAGGCGTAGGCCTTTTCTTTTTTCTTTTTCCTTTTTCTTCTTTGCGTTCGCCAACGTTAGCATCGCCGAGGCATCTCTCGCTGGCTTAGCCGCCAGTGCACGCGCACCTTTCTTCACCACATCCTCCTCCCTCACCTCACCCCACTCCCCCCCCCCCCCCCCATCACACTCGTCCCGTCCACCTGAGACCAGGCGGTCCAACCTTTCCCTTCGTTCCAAGCCTTTCCCGCCGTCTTGTGCGCCTAGCCCGGAGAGACAGGTTCGTCGTGCCGAGACACGAAACCGGACAACAAAACGGCGCAAGACCACTACATGCGGCTTTTACCCTGGACTCTCTCGGGACGGGGAGGGAGGGTGCTGGCAACCGTGGGCACATGCCTCGTTTCTGACGTAGCTACCTGGCCCGTGAATGCCCTCATCGACGCCGATGCGCCGCCATCGTACCTGGCTCTCGCAATCGAGATAGCCAGGAGGGAGGGCAGGGTGAGCGACGCCCATCTCTGTTTTGACAGGTGGGGGCTCCTGACTTGGTCCCGTTCTGTTCGGTCCTGCGGGTTGATGTCACTGCCGACCCCCGTGCCTCCGTGGTCCGGGACACGGGGCTCGCGAGGCCGCCTTTCGTGGCCCGACCCGCGTCAGCGCCCGTTTGTGATAAGAGAGAGAGGGAACCACGTCGACGTCGTCGGTGTGCGGAATATCTCGTGACCGTTCATCGTCATAGTGAACCATGTCTTTGTCGTCTTTCTCTGGGGGCCGTCCTTGGGTGCGGGACTAGCTTGGGCTCGGGGGAAGAAAGAGAGAGAGACACCCCACCCCCCACCCCTTCCAATACCGTTGTCTCTGTTGACGATGTCTCACCGTTGCCGTGCCACCGGTAGGATTGACATCATTAGCCAAGGCTGCACATGTCGCGAGATGGGCGATAGACAACACAAGGATGCAGGTGTTCAAGTAAGCAGAGCAGCGCCCTCTCCGTCAATGCGTTGATTGTTACTCAGCGGAGTAGGGTCTTATCTTGGCTGTGTCGTCTCGGAGCAGGAGGCTTCTGCCACCAGTCCAGCTAGCCGTTAAAGCAATACGTAACGAGGCGAGCATACTTGATTGAAAGGCAAACTGCAGCCTGGAAAACGGACTGGTCATCAGTCAACAATGCCGTTCTTCCTCAGCGCTTTCCGAGGGCGGGGGCGCGCCGAGGCTCGGTCCAGCGTGGGCGGCACCCTTTGTGCATTTTAGAGTCTGAACTTCAAGGCTCGTAATGCCTGTTGATGACTCACGTGCCTGATGCTTTTGGGAAGAAATAACGTTCTCCGGTTTGGCGTGGACCTCAAACGAGATGGATGCCCTCAGGAGGGAGAGAATGGAAACAAAAGCTGTTGAAGTTATCACCAACCTCAGGGGAAACAGTCGTTAAGCAGGAGGTGGGGAGGCGCCCCGATGTTGTCCCTTCCCTCTTTTTCAACCAGATCCTGAGGAAGGAGGATAAAAACATCTTGGGAAGCAGCGTCTTTTTGCGCTCTTGCTGTGAGAAATCTCCATTGATCCTCCCCCCCCAACATCCAATGCGATGGGCAACTGCCAAAGAAAGAGAGAGTCATACAGGCGGAAAGAGTCCTGCTTGCTCCTTCTTCTCGTGGATGCCTCATCCCCTCCCCTCTCCGCCGTGCGCTCCACGGAGTCCCAACAGAAAAATTCCCGCGTCGTGCTCTCTCTTGTGTTCTTTATATCTCTCCTTGACCTTGATACCAAACCAGTCTCATTCCGTGTCATGCATGGCTTGCTTCCCTGGGGATACACTCGGCCCTCGTACATGACTGACCATCACCACCGAAAATCCTACCAATAAACGTGTAGGTACATGCCAGATTCTCGTCCGGTGCGGCGCTGACATCTCGCAGCCCCAAGATGCCCGAAGGTTTCGCCACACAGTCATTGACTGGTGGTTTCAAGCCCATAAATGGTCCCAAGAGACCCCTGACGCCAACACCATCGGCTGCAGTCTCGTTGCCCTTCAAGCGATTAGCAGTCGAAAATGCCCCCAAGCTGCTCGCCACCCCTGAGCATGGAATGGGATGCCGGACCTCGTCCAGTAAACCCCAAGCGTTCCGTGACCGAGTCGAGTCCGCAGAAGAATGCCTCCTCCCACCCGATGTTGTGCGAGCTTCACCGACCATATCCGAGGCAACCATCGAGGTACCCAAAACACCGCCAAGCACCTTGCCACTTCGTCCACCACATATTGCCGGGTCTTGGCGTGACGAGGCAGACTCGTGGATGGACGAGTTCGTGAACCTGGACACCATAGGCGACGAATGCTTCATTCCATCCAGCGAAGCGCTAGTTGGTCACCACCAAGGTGCAACTCACACTCCGTCGGAATCGCATGGAATAGTTGCCAAGCCGTTCCCACATCTTGACGTCGAGAACCTCAAGCAAGCAGTACAAGATGGAGGGACCACCATGGAGGACGGCACGTTGGATGAATATTCTATTGGCGACTCGGATGAAGAGGACATGGCCATGCTTCTGGAATCAGCCGACGGCAACCCTAGCAAGCCTTCTCCCTCACATTTCCCTGTAACCATTGATCAGGGTCCGAGGTCGACTGGAAGCTTCGACTTGAAGCTTCACTCCTCTTCTTCCGACGTTAGCCACGATGAAGCATCCAAAATCAACTTCTTGGAGCCCGACTTTCTTGACGAAGACATCGACTGGGACACTTTTACTGCCTGTGAAAAAGATGCCACTCGGAGCCCCGAGACCGGAATGCTCGTTGACGCTGCCAGTATGCAGGAAACTAGCTCCCCATCAAGCCCAACCCCAATCATAAGGCCCCCCGTTCCTCCAAAGATGAGAGACCGTTCCGTCGTCGTTGGGCTTTCCTCCACAACCATGATGCGCACCTGCTTCAGGATCGGGGAGTTGCTGAACGCCCACGCCAAGTGCACGCGAGACAAACAAGACGTTGTCTTGGAGTTGTTTGCAAGGGTGAGGTATTCTATCAGGGAGACCACGACCAGGGTACAGCACTTTGACTTGCGGGACCTTTTCACGGACAGGCAGCCATTCCTGAGTGGCACTTTCAGAGAATGGAAGCTCAACAGCTCTCTCGATCATGACAGTAGATCATTTCTAGGGCTGAGCGGACAAAACAAACTATGCCGATGCGTTTGCAAGCTCTCAAACGCCAGGGAGACAACCATCGGACGTTCGGCAATGATCCTGTCCATCAGAGAGACGACCTGGGATGAGATATTTTGGGCTTTGAGAATCGTCGCCCGAGACGCGCCATCTGACAGCGGATGATGTTTCCTGCTATTCGACTGATGAATCTTGATGACATGATCAGTGGATGTTTTGAGGCAAACCTGCCATGTCTTGAAGATCCCTTTTAGACTGGAGGATAAGCCGAGTAGGTGGCTTACGGGGAGCGTTTATCTCCAAAGTCCCGGGGAAGCAAAACAAGAAGACATTCAAAAAAGAAAGAAAAGATACTATGCCCATAATGTTGGGTTATGGTTTTCGTGCTACTGACTCATCGGTGTCCAAAGGTTCATCTCAGATGTTGAAGAAGCGTGGGCAGGACAGACATGCTTCCGAGCCGGCCCTCACATGAGACACGCACCGCAATGCATAAGGCTTAGGGCTTTGCTCACCCCATTTCCCAGTGATGAAAGGCTCTTGGGGAAAACAAAGTTCTTTGCTGCTCCTGTAAGCACACTTGTACTTCGCTGCGGATGTACGGAAGCGCCAAGAAGGCCAAGAAGGCAGCTCCGGGTGGGGGAACGTTCTGAAAACACCCAAGGCATGCTCGAGTCTGAATAAAGCCAACCTATGGCGCGAGAAGGACGATGATAAAGGCTCAGAGGGTCTTGGCAACCTGGTTTATAGCTACGATAAGTCAGGCTGACTAGCAGTCCGGCAATCGAGCTATCAACTTCTGCCTGCGACGGCATAGAAGGCCACGATGCAGCGTCGAGACCAATACAGCTGCCAAGACACCGGGCCTATAGGCAACGCCGATGACCTAGACTCCTGCCGCGCGCGCGTTGGATATAACGATTCTTCAGCTTTATTAATAACGGGTGTCGTGTTGCCGTAATGGTAAGCGTCAAAAGTTAGATCCATGTAGAAATGATGTGGGTTCATACATGGCACTCTCCCCAACGTGTTGGAATCCTGGGGGGGAGAGGTTCGGTCGACCAACCTCGTCTATGTTGTCATACGTCATGCTGGTATAGCAGCAGCTTGAGCTCCCATATACTACACATCGTGAAGCCTGGCATCATAACCGCAGCTACTCCTGTCGGCACACAGGAGGTGCAAGTACAGGCGCGTACCGAAGGGGGCGCAGCAAAGAAGCCCGCGGCCCGAGACTTGAGCTAATATCGTCACAGAGGGAACGCCGGCAAACTGGTCTACAGGGTGTTCGTCTGCAAGCCCTCGTCTTTAGGTTAGACACGTCTGCGGCGTAGCCGTGGGGGGTGGGAGGGGGGGAGGTGCAAAGCCCTGCAAGGGGGGGAGCAGAAAGACGACATGCGTGCGGCTATGATGGATGGCTCCGTGGTGCAGAAAGCTTGACGGGAGATTCGGCGTCAACCAACCTCTAGCTTCCCGTCCGCCAAGAAATAAAGATGACCAAGAGTTTAAGCGCTTCGCGTGCTCCTGGGGGCATGATGTCCAGAACGAAAGACGACCCTTGCCATCAGTCAGAGATATTGTCCGTAGCAGCACAGCGATATCCGCTCAACAATGGGGACCAAGCCTCCCGTCTTTTATTATACCGGTACAATCATGCTTGCCGTCTTGGCATTCGAGACTAACAATCCCCAAGGTACAACGAGACGCCGAATCACGGCCTCGTGACCAATACTTTGCAGCTTTCGCCATGGTTCTGAGGCCCTCTCTTGGCTTGTTGCATATCATTCCCAACAGCGTCTTCTTGCTGAAGAGCTGAGCCGCTGCTATTTTCTGACTGCGCCGATTCCAGACATGTCTTTGGCCTATTTGCATATCTCCTCCCATCTGGCGGTTTCGAAATAGCTCAACCTTGCTCTTCTATCCCGGGCTCTAGGACCCCGATTCAGTTCGTTCACCCCGAGACTTTGTCCACGCACCAAAGCCCCTCCTCCCCCTTTCTTTCTCTTTCCATCTTTCTTCCTTCTCTGTAAGCCCCATCCCTACACATACTCGTACAATCAAGCCTGAAGACGTTCGAGGTGCTGTCTCTGCTCCCCTGGAGGACCGGGAGCACGTGCGGGCGTTAGATAGATCGCAGTTGAGTATGTGCGCGACACAATGCCTGAGCTTTTCCACCCCCACCCTTGAGTAAAGGGGTCATCAGCTTGCGTTGGTGTTGGCATAGCTTTGCCAGCGCGAGGTGTGGTGAGAGGGCTACGATCAAGCAGAGCAGCATGGTGCACCGCTGTCACAAATGGTGCCCAATGCTGCTGAATGAGATCTTCCGGGCCGCTGGAATATTGAGGGCGAACGTCTGAACTGCCCCCAGGGGGGCGGCTGAGTCGCTGCTCAGAAGGCTGAAACCAGACGTAATGATGGTCCTTGGCCTATCGCCTTGAAACGTTCGCTGACTGTTTGTAAGCCTCCTGTCTAGATGCGATGTTTCCTTCCCTGAATCGATTCTTGCGAAGAGAATATCGGTTCTCCCAGGGGTTGAAGCTGCTGCTCGACTATAAGCATAATAGATTGCTTGTACTTGCATGCCGATTCATTTTGTAGACCCCGCCCGCGGTGAGAATACGCGGCAACAACGCGAAAAGAGTTAAGCTCCCATCGAGACCGCGCGTCCAGCGCTTCTGAGCCCCCGTCTGTTCAGAAATCCAAGGGTCCTGGTGATACTTTAAGCATATTCATTAGACTATCGGGAACCCGGCTGATAATCATCTATGACGGAGGTGTTATGCTGTTTAGGGGGGTGACTGCTGGTGTGTATCAAAGTTTCGAGATTACTCATGTACTAACCTTATTTACAACTACATATCAACCGTGGCAGGGCGCAGACAAACACCAAGACCGCCAAGCAAGTCAAAAAAGAGGCTTTGCGCAGACGACTATCTTTGGCACGACATCATGAGCCCGGCTGGGCAGATTTTTGCCCGTTGACGTAGGGAAATCTGTCAGTTTCCCTTCGGGGACGACCGTCGTCCTGATGGATGAAGAAGAACCCCCCCCCCCCCCAATCCTGCGCCTCTTAAAACGAACGGCCGCCCGGCGTCATCTCGACTCCATCACGGACGAGCACCTTCTTTTCTCTTTCCGGCAGCAGTGTTAAGAGAGACAATGGACGCCAAAGACAACCAGAACTACCGCAACGCCATCAGCCTTGACTACATGCACCCGGCCGAGCCGCGGACGGAGGCCGACTACAAGCAGGACAAGCAGGACCTCCCGTCCGGCGCGTCGGCGTCCGAGCCGGCCACCATGCTCAACGTGCCTCTGGATGGGACGTACAGCCAGGGCGAACCGGAGCCGATGGACCCCAAGCTGGTCAAGATGAGGAGGCAGGCGCGCTGGGCCCTCCTCGCCATGGCCTTCTTCATGGGCGACGTGCAGGAGGGCCTGGGACCCTTCCTCGGAGTGTACCTCCAGGATCACAACTGGGCTCCCGGGATGCGCGGCTCGGTCGTCGCCATGAGCCACGTGGCGACCATCATCATGAGCGGACCGATCGGTGCGCTTATAGATGCGACGAGGTGAGTGTGTGTGTGTCTTGAAAGGAGCATTTGACGGAACTCCCCTCCTCGTTTTGTCTGAAGGTGGTAGACTGATCACCCGGCCATTAGTTATAAACGTGTTCTCGTCGCCACATTCGCATGCACCGTCGGCACTTGCCAGGGTCTCAACCTCCTCTCCACGCACCCGGCCTGCGTCTTCACCACGCAGATGGTGTCGGCCGTTGCGGGCGCCAGTCTGATCCCCCTTCTCGTGGCGCTCACGATGGGCGTGTGCGACGAGGATCCCGAAGCGGCCGAAGCCGGCGCCGCCGGCGTCGTCGAACCCGCGGCCGGAGGCAAGGACAAGGACAAGAAGAAGAAGAACAAGCACAGCTTCATCGCCCTCAACGGGCGCAACCAGGCGTCCAACCACCTCGGCAACATGATCACGGCGGGCGCGGCGGGCGCGCTGGGCCAGAAGTTCGGGCTGCCGGCCGTATTCTACCTCGTCATCGCCTGCTGCGCCTGCACGATGGGCATCGTCTGGCTCATCCCCGAGGGCGCCATCGACCACGCGGCGGCCAGAGGCCGCGTGCCGGTCGACTCGGAGACGGACGACAATAACAGCCAGCACCACCAGGACATGCAGGAGAGAGGGGTGGCGGGCAAGAAGGGCGGCTTCCACCTGCCCGGTCTCGGCAAGAACAAGAATAAGAAGAAGAAGAACGCCGACAGCTCGCTCATGATCCTGATCAAGAACAAGCCGCTGGCCATCGTCGCCGTCACCGTGTTCCTGTTCCACCTCGGCAACGCCTGCATCCTCTACATCTATGGCCAGGCGCTCGTCGTCGCGGGCGAGGGCGACCCGGCCCAGACGACGGGCCTGACGGTCATCATCGCGCAGGCCACCATGACCATCATGTCGGTGCTGACGGCGTGGGTGGCCGACCGCTGGGGCTACTGGTTGCTCGTCATGCTCTCGTACATCGTGCTGCCCATCCGCGCCGTGCTCGCCGGTAAGGTCATCAAGTACTGGGCCATCTGGCCGGTGCAGATCCTCGACGGCATCGCGCACGGCATCCTCAGCGTCGCGACCCCGGGTATGGTGGCCATGATCATGGCCGGCACCGGCCGCATCAACGTCGCCTACGGCATCGCCGGCAACATGACGCGCCAGTCGGGCTCCGCCATCTCGCACTCCCTCGGCGGCTGGATGTCCGAGGTCAAGGGCTACAACTTCGCCATCATGCTGTGCGGCGTCTTCCCGGCCGTCGGCCTCATCATCTGGGTCTCCACCTTCAGGCTCCTGCGGCCGCTCGTCGACGTCAAGAAGGCCCCGAAGGAGTAGTGCTGCCCCCGCATGCCCCTTGGTCCCGGATCCATTTAGAAAAAGAAGCATATTCTTGTCAAGACCATGCAGCTTCCCACCTACTGCTCTCCCTTCCCTCTCTCCCCTGCCTAACTCTCCCTCCCTCTCTCTCTCTGTCTCTCTTTCTTTCTCTCTTCCTCTCTCTCTCTCTCTCTACACTTTCTAATTAGTTAGCCGTCCTCGCCTTCTGGTTAGTTGTAGAATACCCATTAAAAAACCTTTTGGCTAGGTTGTCATAAATTGTAACCCGTTGGCTATGCTCATCTCTCTCTCTGTCTCCATATCAAGATGAATACGTTATTGAACTTCATTACCTGACCCTATGAACCGCGTCCTCGCTAGCCGGGTTAAACGTGACATGCCGCCATTTTCCTTCTTCTTCCCCGGAACTAAAGATGAACCCCGTGACTAGCGGGATGCTGCCACTTTTGATTATGAATGTTTCTCCAAGCAAAACATCGTGGCACTCCGCTCCTCTGGCGACAACACCCGACGCGGTCAACAGCGACTTGGTCACCTGTACAACGACAAATTGTAAGAAGGGTCTTTTATACCTGGGAGAGGGCCCCGCGGGAAAGTACTCTCATTTACATCCGGAAATGACTGAGTAGACGGACCATCAAAAGGCCGTTTCTGCACCCCTCGTCCGTCGTATAAGCAGGACACGCAGCATGGTGAAGAAACGCGTCCCCCTTCTCGCGCCACACAAACGGCGGCGCAGCCGAGACGGAGGAGCACGTGCGCCCGGAAGCGCTCCGGCCGAGAAGAAAAAAAGGCAATCGTAGATCGTGGCTACTGGTGTGGCCGGTAGGCTGGTTTGTTTCCTTGGTGTGTCTGAGTTTTGTGACTCAGGACCGGCCGGGTGACGCAGACGTGCGACTAAGTTCGGAAACGTGAGGGGGGGATGGGGATGGGATGCTTTGAAGAAGGGACGGCGGTTCGCCTGCGCGGGGTTTTTGTCCTTCCCGTCATAATCCTTTTCGGAGGCGGCAGGCCCGGACCCGGGACACTGACCAGTGTATATGTACCGAGCGGCCCGGATCTTGTTGGTCACATCAAAGCCTTTTGGACGGCGGAGGAATTGGCTAAGCTGAGCCGGAACCACGTAGCCACTCGAACTATATAAACTTGGGCTCGGCTCTATTCAATGCTTACATCGCCATAGACATGGCCTGGTGCAGTTTCTCGGCGTGCTAGGAGAGGCTAACTGAGATCTGCCAGCCCGGAAACTGCGCGAGGCTGGTTACAGTTCCAGCTACGCAGACAAGGTTTACTTTACGGATCTATGAAATTTCACCCGCTGTCAGGGTTGTTGCCCAGAAGGGCTTGTAAGAAAGGTGGGTGATACGATATAGGCCAAATTGAAACAGCCTGAGCGGGCAATTGATACACGTCTACCATGACCATGTAATCAATGGAACGTGCATGAGTCTGTGTCCTCGAGGGCGAGAGATCTAACAGGCTGGTCTCGAGGTCATCATGGACCAAGGCGAGCGAGCCGGAGCTCTCTTTGTATACTTTCATTGTCCCGCCGTCATGATGATCTCATTGCCGAAGCCGTGCATGTGTATATATATATATATATATATATATATACGTATATATAGCCTTTTACACGCGACAATGAACAAAACTCCGAACCCCATCTGGTTTATATAAACTCGGGCATCGTCACTCGGATAGGATTTATTCATACTCGGTTTGCCAACTCGAGTCAAAAGACTAGAACCTCTTGTATCTGCCAAGACCCCTTTGTGCAGCAAGCCGGCAATTTTCCACCACTGGTATCGTTTCCCCCCCTTCCATGCCGCGCCCGACCCCCGCGTAAGTCCATCGCGCATCACATGCTCGGGTTAAAACCTCCCGCAAGCGAAACGGTTATCCAGAAAGAAAAGGAAAGAAAAGAAAAGCATTAATTATTCCTCGACGGTTATCTTCACCTGCGTCAAAAAGCACACCCTCTCTCCCTCGTCTCCCAGCACCAATCCCCCCCCCCAAAAATGTCCCTTTCCGACCACGCCCAGAAGCTCACAAGCTCGCTCGAGCAAGCCAAGCTCGTCCCCGGCGCGGCCGGCGCCCTCATCCCCGAGGGTTTCGAGCCGACGACGAAGCTTGAGGTGTCGTTCGCGGGCAAGGCGGTCGACGCCGGCAACTTCTTCCGGGCGGGCGAGTGCAAGGTGGCGCCGAGCGTCTCGTTCGCGGGCGAGGCCGGGGCGCCGGCGGGCGCGTGCTACACGCTCTTCCTGACGGACCCGGACGCGCCGACCCCGGACAACCCGCAGTTCGCCTTCTGGCGCCACTGGGTCGTCCCCGGGCTGCAGCCGCTCAGCGGGGACGGCGGCGTGGTGGCGCAGGGGAAGCCGGCGCTGACGGAGTTTCTAGGGCCCGGGCCCAAGGACGAGTGAGTTTCCATATATATATATATATATATATTTCCAAGCGAGGAACGGAAGCGCGGTTGGTAATAAGAAAGACGCTAATTCGAGTCTCCCTTTCTCTCTCTCTCAGCTCCAAGCCGCACCGCTACCTCTTCCTGCTCTACCGGGAGCCCCATGGCCTGGATCTCAAGAAGGAGGACGTCGGCGGGGAGGAGTTTGTCGAGAGACGGTCATGGAAGCCCGCCGAGTTCGCCGAGAAGCATGGTCTGAAGCTGGTCGGCGTCAACTGGATGACGTGCGCCGGCGACTGCTGGACCAAGTAAGTCGGGGGGTGGTTTTTGCGTAGGGTGCGCGCGTCGGTTAGAGTTTTTTCCACAATAAACATCAGCAAAAGGCATCCAATCCAAAAGCCTGTAAGGTCAACTTCTAGAAGCCCTATGTGTTGGTTTCACCAGGGTGGTGATACAGTTAACCGTACGTATCAATAGGCAAGTGACAAATAATAGGGGTAAATACCAGTTCTGAATTATGCGTAAAGGAAAGGAAACTATTATGGGATTACGCAGCAAATCCACTGCGTAATATCCCTATAAATCTAGTAGATCTATAGCAAATTAGCTGTAGTTATTCTAGCTAATTAGTATTAATCTATACTACTAATATCTAGGTAATAGTTAATATTATAACACTAGTAACCTTCTAAAGTGCTATAAATTACCTCTATTTTCTAGTTATTTATAAAGGGCTTAAAAACGTAATAAAAACAAAAGGCTAAAAAGTATTTAATACTTTTTAGATATATAACCTATTATATATATAAAACCTATTTATTTATTTATATCCTTAATTAACTATTATTAATTAACTACTCTAGCGTCTTATTTAGTAATAACTTTATAAGTCTATCTATTAGGTTATTCTCCCCTTATATTTATTAGATCTTATAGATCTTATATTACTTATATAACTAGTAAAGTGCTATAATATTAATTATAAGTTACTTCTTTTTAGTAGTACTAAGCTTTATAAGGCACTTATAAAGAGAGTATAAGTTAGTATAAAGGATTATTAGGATTTATAGTAACTTAAGGTAGTTAGTAATTATTATAAGTATAATACTAATTATATAGGTAATATTAGTACTAGTAACTATACTATAGACTTTAGAGGCTAGTATACTATATATAACTTTTTTATACTTTATTAAGCTAAAGTAGATAATATTACTAGTAAGTATAAATTTCTTATTATTAGTAGTAGGTTATATAACGTTACTTTTATTAGTAAGTATAATAATAAAGCTAAGTTATAAAGTAAAATTATAGTTATTTATAAATAAGCTATTAATAAAGATAAAAAGCTTTATAGTTATAAGGTTAATTAGCTAAAAAAGTAGGCTATAGTTAAGGTAACTTATTTACTACTTAATCTAGTAGTTAAGAGCCTTAATCTCCTCCTCTATAGGTTCTTAGTATTATATAGTAACTAAATAGTTAAAGTAAGCCTTAGGTTAGTAAATTAATATAATATACGCCTTATAGGCCTTTTACTAAATAAAGTCTTACTTAGTAGTAAGTAAATTTATATTAATAGGCTAAAGCTTCTTACCTTAATCTTTTTAGTAAAAATTTATTTTATTATTATAGCTAAAAGAAAGTATACTACTATTAAAAGTAATAAAATTATTAATAGTTAATAGTTACTTAGGCTTTATAGTAAAAGTTATTTTCTTAAGCTTCTTCTCCTTATAAGTAGAGAATCTATTATCTATAAGGCTAATTATATTATCTATTTATATACTAATAAGACTAAAATCCTTATTATTAGCTAATAAAATAAGTAAGTAGGGGTTAAAAGTTAATAAATCTATCTAAAGATTTTCTTTATAGTAGTAGTTATATATAGCCTACTAGTAGGTGCCTACCTTAATAATACTATAAAGTAGCTTTATTACCTTTATAATAAAGTTACTAAAGTAAAAATAGTAAATTTATATAAGAAGTCTTATAAGAATAATGTAGTTAAGTAGTGTTATAGATTAGGTATACGCCTAGGTAATATTATATAACTAGAGGTAAAATCTATATTATAAAAGTAATAAGGTAAAGGTAAGAATTAGTTACTAGGCTATTTATTAAATTATAGGTAATTATATAAGAATTATTTCTTTACTATTATTAGTATAACCTTAAATAACTAACTATAATTTCTTATATAGTTACTTATTTTTTTTTAAAATAATAGTATTATATACTTCTTTTATAGATTTACTAGCTATTATAGGCTCTCTTTCTTATACTTATATAGGATTATTATCTCTTTTAGCTATTATAAGTAGTAGTACTAATTAAGCTTTTTCTTACGCTATATAGTATAGTTTTACTATAGTAATATAAAAATTATATAGGCTATAAGGTAATTTAATAGTATAAGTAGTACTATTATTAGTAAGTAAGTAAAATAGGCCTTACTAGCTATCTTTCTTATACTATATATAGATAAGTAATTAAAGGGGTAGCGCTATAGTATTTATTATATCTAGGCTATTACATGTTACTAGTATATTACACACTTATCTTTTTATATAGATTTACTACACTACGTTTATAGCCTTTTTTACTACTTTAGCGCGCTACGTAGTAAAAGGGGTAAGTAGTAAATTATCTATAATATAAAGGTATACCCTAAAAACAAGTAGAGTTAGTATAAGGCTATTAAGGCTAGTAGTATTATTAATAGCTTTAACAGCTAATTAAAGGGTAACTTTAGGCTTATAATTACTATCTATATAAATAATCTTATATATATAGTAAAAAGTAGTATAGTATTACTTAACTTTACTAATAAATTAATAGGCCTTAATAGGCACTTTATTTACCTTAATAGATAATATATAGGCAGTATATTTAAATTTAGCTATATAAAAATTTAGGCTAGCGTTAGTAGTAATCTAATTAAGTAGCCTAAGATATATATTAATCTAGTATATTTATAATACCTTTTATATATACTTTATAGTAACTAAATATAAGAATCTTACTATATTAAACGTAGTAGCTAAGTTAACTATATAAAGTATAGGCTTATTACTATCTATATATATTATATTAATAAAGATTTTATAGTTAAATTTATAGTTATTATATAGTATAAATTTAAAGCAGCTAGGCGCCTTTATATTAAGTTAGTAGTAATAGTAGTACTTATTAATCTCTTTAAGTGTAGTAAAAGAAGTAGATTTACCTACTTATTTAAGTAACTTATAAAGGTAATTTACTAATAAGTAGCTAAATCTATAGTAAATCTAGCGTAATTTACTATTAGTTAAGTGTTACTTTATAATAGCGCTCTTAAGCAGCTCTAAAAGTATCTATATATAGCCCTATTTTTAGGTAATAGGTATAATAATCTTATCCTTAATAAGCTAGTTAGTAAGGTTATTAAATTTTACGCTATAGTAATCTATATCTTATAAGTAAAAAAGAAATAGTATATTACTTATTATTATATAAAAAACAAGCTTACTAATTAGTATAAGTATATAGATTACCCTAAGGGATTTATAGTAATCCTTACTACTAAAGTAAATTATTACTTTACTAATATAGGTAGTATTTAGTAAGATCTCCTTACTAAGGTGTTTTTTAAAGGCAAAGTACTACTACTATTTAGCTATAGATATCTTAGCTACGCCTATATTAGGTATAATACCTTAAAAAGTAGACATAAAGTAGTAGTTATTAAATATAAAAATATTACTACTTTTTATAGTTATATTAAGTAATTCTTCTTTATATAGATTTTTATAAGTAATAGTATAAAACGTTACTTAGTTATATAACTTCTTATAGGTTAATAGGCTATTAATTAACTGCTTACTAAAGTATATAGTTATAGTAAAAAACATAGTAGATTTATAGTTTTTACTATCTAATAAGTAAATCTTACTATTTTTACTTACTTCTTTAAGATAACTTAGCTTATTACCTTTATAATTAATAAGAAAGTAACTAAAGGTAGTCTATAAAGCCTATATAAAGTAGGTGCTTTTATACTATATAAAGGAGGCTTATTATTCCTCCTTTATATACTTAGTTAACTAACAGCCTAATTTACTATAAATAAAGCACTTTTTAGACAGATTACTATTAGGTAGTACTTTACTACTAGCTAACTATAAAAGGCCTTATAAATAGCCTTACTATCTCTAGAGGTCTACCCTATAGTTACGCTAGCTGTTATACTTATAGTTAACCTAGTATTATATTATAACCTAATAAGTTATAGGCTATATTACCCTACCTAATAAGCAGATAATAGGCAGCAGTAGTATTTATATAAACAAGAGATAAGGGACAGACAGATAACTCCCTAAGAATAAAAGAACTATAGTATAGGTTATATAAAGATAAAGAAGTAATTATATAATAAGGTAATTACTAGTAATTATAAAAGTAAGTACTTACTAGTATCTACTAAGCGCTTACCTTATATAAGAATAGTAATTACTTATAACTATTAGTTAATAGGACTATTTAGGGAACAGCTAGGACTTA